ATATAGAAAGAAAAAAATATATGGGGCTAGAACACGGGTGGGCACAACACACAGGTCAACAGAAAGTCGACTCGGATGCCAAGTCAAACAATATGGGATATAATTTTTTCTGATATATTTTCATTCTCCAAAAGGAGTTATTTATAATATAAGTGTGTAAACCCTAGTATAGTTATACAAGAAAACAAATAAACTCCTAATTACACAAGATTGTAAAAAAGAGAAATAAATAAAATCCTAATAGAATAGGAAATAAATCTCCAAATAGAGAATTAAGATTCTCGCCAACAATTTCATCATAAAATAATTGTGAGATTATTTTATTGTCATAATCCAATCATTAGATATTAGATTATAGGGCCACATGATAGTGATTGAAGTATATATATTTGATATAAAGGGAAATGTTATTAACATTCCAAAAAGTCATTTTGCATGTTTCTCTTGTAAAAGTTGCATATGAGACTCATGATGACGTGATTATTAGGAATTTTAAATGAGCGAATTTTGACAATTAATATATATGAGACTCATAATGCATGAATGAATGAAAGTTAGATTGTACGTAAAGAGAAGTAGAGAAATTCATAATGACGCTTTATAATCATTAGTTGTTTATGTCCATATTAAGATAAAACAAATTTATGGTACTAGCTTAGAAGAATAGGAGAAGTCATGCGCGTGACTTGAAATAGTATGACTGGTAGAACCAAAAAAAAAGATTTGGATTATTGTACACTTCTCTTTTTGCCAAAGTTAGGACGAGGGAAGGGGTTTTTACACATGCACTACCAAAGTGCCATGAGAACATACATATTATATTATGCAAAGACTAGTATAGAATAGTCAATGCAAATTATGCAATTGCATATTATTAATCACGAGTTGAAAAGAAAACCCTTGAGCAAGAGAAACTCTAGCAAAAGCATCATAATGTCTTTGGGCTTCTCGTGACTTTTTTGGGCCTCAACAGAGTGCTGCTAAACGAACCCTAAAATTAACTGAGTACACCCTACTATCAAAATATTTATTGAATTACTAATTTACCCTAATATAAAATGACCACAAAAGATATATTGAATTGCAAAACAAATATAATTTTAATAAGTACACCCTACTCACCATATTCAACCCTAATGAAAGGCCTAAGCAAGAAAAATGCTTCCTTGATCCCAACCATTATGAGACTTGTTAGGGTACTGAGGAAGCGAAAGAACCATGTTGGGAAACCTGTGGAGAATGAAATAGGCTTCTGACCTCAGAAAAAGCAAGAGCATACCCAAGGAAGTTTGGGTGAATGAGGGGTTGTCGATATGGGCTTTCTTCTAGGAGGGATGACTGTGAGCTTCTTGATGAATAGATTGTTTACATCAGGGAAATTTATTAAAGATGAATAAGATTGTTTACATCACTACCCATACTGGACCTGCTTGATCCCATACCTAATTACCACCCATCCTAGAAACATAGGCTGCCACCTCATGTGCAGCTCTATTGCAGTGTCGTGTGTGAAAGAAAAGCCAATTAAACTGTTGAACTAAAACATGAATATCAAATAGAGTGTTGTGTGATAGAGTTTATTAGGGTGTACCAAGGGTATTTTGGTAGTAAAGTAAGGTGTACTTAGTTAATTTTATATTTTAATTAAAATATTAGGGTGTATTTAGATCATAGGGTGTACTCAGTTAATTTTAGGGTTCGTTTAGCAGCACTCTTCTTTTATAGATAAAAAATAAAAAAGGGCGCAACAAAAAACTAATGGTGGGTGGAGTTGATGAGTCTCTTTCCAGCGGGCTGGTGAGGAACCGAGATTCCCTGTCTAACGCAATTATGTGGATGGGATGGCGCGGGTCCTCTGCCCCATTTTAATCTCTAGTTTCATGAATCATGTGTTTCTTTGTAATGTAAGTATTTGGACTCTCTTGAGGTTTTTCTCTTTCTTTCAATACTTGCTTAGGTTTCGGCTCAAATAGGGTACTAGAGAGGACCTCGCAGTCAAAGGAGAGGGACACGCGATACCCCAAGAAAGGACTAGAGCCCCCCAAGACCTCAAAGTTGGAGTCCAGGAGGTCATATGTGAAGCTCACACAAAAAATTCCTTGTTGATTGACCTATAGCTTTGCCCAGCGCGAAAAAGAATTCCCTATGTTTCTCAATTTCTTGGTACTTCTCTTCCTTTAACTATGCTCTTTGCGACTGATAGCTTAGATGTGCAAAGAGCATACGAAGGTATAAACACTTAACATATATATGCAAATCAGTTTTCTTTCCTTTTTGTTAACATATGAAGGGACACACATTTGAGCATATGATGGTGTTGTGTTCTTTCCTTTGTAGTTATTTTTTTCTTTTAAAAGACGAAGCAATATTAAATTATTGAGGAAAATGTAAGATACAAAACATTACCATACATTAACATCTCTCTTTTTGGAGTGAATGAGTTGATTCATATCCTTTTGAAAACATTAACATCTCTCTTTTTTAACACAAGATAGAGAACCCAACATAGTGCTAGGCATAATATTTGTGAAAGTTTTGTAATGATGTATTTTTGTGACATAGGACCATTGAAGGATTATTGTGCTTTTTTAATCTTAAAATACCCCCAACTAAGCCATTATTGTATTTTGTGTGGATTTAAGAATTAATTTGGAAACTTTTTTAAATTTAACATAACTAATCGGTTTATTTAATAAATAAATAAATATATTTATTTATAAAGTATACTTGATTAATTATCTATTATAAATATAATAGTGTACCTAGTATGAATTTACTTATTATTCAAATAATATACCCAACTTTTATAAACGCATTTTGGATATAATTTACCTAATAATGTCCTATTATGCAATAATATAACTTGTAATTTACCTATTATGGGTATACTATAGGGGAAAATACTTCCCTTCTTAACATGTAAGTAGGAGTTCCTACATTCTTGTCAATAGCAGTGTGACATGTGTGCATAAGTTTTTCTTCTTGTGTTTTTGATGAATTATTTTTGCATATGTGTCAAATTGTGATTCATGAGAAGGAGGAGTATCTCCTTACAGGTAAGGAGGCAAGCAATATTCTATTGTAAGTATATTAAAGCCAACACATTTATAGGTATATTTACCTACCTATATTGTATATATACACGATATATAGGATACATTATATTGTATTGATACTAATTTACCTATTATATTTTATTATAATGAAATTTGAGGGATTTTTAATTGGTCGAAAATTTAAGGATTTTTTTTATTGATCAAACTTTTAGGTATAAGAGGGAATGCCCAAAAAAAAAAATCCATGATATAAATCCATGATATAAGAAAACTTTTTGGTTGATAATCGATGCGTTTAATTTGAAAGGCCATGGATGTGGATATGGAGATCAATACGGTTGGTGAAAACTCTTTTTCATCAAGTGATGATGCCCGGGATGATCATACTTGTGGTTTTAAATGCAACATATGCCTTGAATTAGCTGATCAGGATCCAATTGTAACACCTTGCGGCCACCTTTACTGCTGGCCCTGTCTATATAGATGGCTTCGTGTTTGCTCATCACAATCAAATAAGCTCCAGTGCCCTGCTTGTACGACTGTCATTAAGGAGAAGAAGCTGATCCCTATCTATGGAATAAAATCAGATCGAAGATCTCCTTCTGTACAGCCCGGTTTTAAAATTCCAAATAGGCCATCTCCATCTTCTTCATCTTCAAATAGACGATCAGTTCGTCAAATCAGAAACGCCGTTGCTTCAGCTTTCAGTGCTCCATTTTCTTCATCTTTCAATTGGACGAGCAGTTCGTCAAACCCTAAATGCCATTGCTTCAGCTCTCAATGCAAACCATTTTTCGAAGGTGTTCGAATTCATGCCAATGGTGCTAGGTGGAATTGGAGTTGTTGTTCTCAGGAACGGACCGAGGATTTCAAACTTGACTGGACTAAATTAACTTACATATAAACATACTAAATAGATAGAAAACTCGATCGTATGATGTAATTTCATTGATAACAATAAATAAAAATACATGAAAAATTATTTTATGTAAAAATATTGGCTAAGTATAAAAAATAATTTTTCGGAATAATCATTTTCTGAAGATAATTTTTGGCGACTTTTATTCCTTACACATCAAATAAGAAAACTTGATTTTATGGGATTTTAGTATGAAGTATATATTGACTTAATGAGCCATCATTTTTAGCCTAAATCTTATTTTGTACTAAAATCGATTTTTCATATTTTGATTTGGTGGGAATTTGATTTTTTAGTATTTTTATTTGAATCCAAATGGGGGGTACTTCCTTATTTACATTGTAAACTTAAGTAAATGGAGTAATATAAAAATAAATGAAAGTAAAAGGAGAAAGACACTCATTCTTTAAGAGATGTCAGGGGTTCGATCCCTGCTCTTGTATGGAGTCACCACTTTGGCCAGCACTTTACCCCTTACGGACCGACCCGGTGTAAGCGGGGATTAGTCTGGGTTGTGGTTAAGGCTTAAAGGTGCCACCCATAATTGAGGCTCATCCAGGACCACCTCGTGGTTCAGACCAAAAAAATAGAAAAAAAGGAGAAAGACATTTACTTAAACGCTGAAAATGGAAATAAGGTAGCACCTTAATAGATCACTGACTGGGCTATAATTTTTTGAGGAGCTAGAAAGAAAAATGCCACTTGGGCTATAGCCCAGGTTAGCTATGCCTATGGTCCGTCCCTGGTTGTTCTCGTTGGGGGATACATTTGGTGTATTTGAGAACTGTGTGATCGTACCAATCAAGTGTTGGATTCTGTCTAACAAGCGTGTGACAATTGAATGGTTGGTCAATGCTTTTGTTTACTTATCACTATTATTTGTGACTAATCTCTCACATTTTAATATTTTGGTGACAGTTGATTTAAATATAATAAATATAAAACTAATTATTGTGATTAACACCGAACACAGTAATTTTACATGATTAATATTTGATTAGAGCCTTGCTAATAATTGTAATCCAATAAAATATTCGGTGGATTACCCACCTCTCGTTCTCTCTCCTCAACCTCCCGTCTCCTACTCCTCAAACAAATCGAAACATTACCCCTTTTCTTTTTTAAGCTCTTCTCTACCAAAACAACCCAGCAACCCCCTTCTCGTCTCATTTTCTTTTCAGATCCGGTGGTTTTCACCCCGATCCCTCCATTTTTTTGGCTATCTCCTTGCTTTTGACAGAGTTTGTTATCTCCCTAGTTTTTCTAGGGCGTTTCTTTGGCTCTGGGCAGTCCTTTTAGATCAAATCTCAAATCTCAAATCTCATATCTCAGATCTGAGAGCTAGAGTAGGGATTGCTTCAGTCATGGCTTTCCTTGTATTTTTTTTTCTACTTTTTTATATATTAATATATTCTTTGTTATTCTGTGATGCAAGAAGATCAAGTTCTGCAGGGGCGGTGGAATTGCTAGAGGCGCCTGCGCCTCTATTCCCAAGTCCTTTTTAATTTTTAATTTATTTTATTAATATACTCTTTGTAATTTTCCTTTTCTATTTCTGAGTTCTAAAGATGTTGTTTTATCTGGGTTTCTCTTCCCCTGATCATTGGTGGGTTGGGGTTATTCATTTAGATGAGTACAAGATTTCTATTTTCTTAGATTTTATTTTATTTTGATATGTCCTTTTCTCTTTCTTTCCCTATTTGAACTATGCCCGTGTTCTACCTCTAACTTCTTCTTGAACTATGACCTGTGAACTACTATTAGTTCACTACAAAAAAAAAAAAAAGGAAAAAAAGAGAGGCAATAGTCACCTTTTTAAAGTAACAAAATTTGTTTTGGTGACATAGGGAAGAGCTGCTGGCAGAAAGCTGCCCACCTATTTTGACTTGCCTTGGCTGCTCCATTTCGCAAGTTTTTTTGTTCTTTCCCTTTTGTTTTGCTTCTCTTTAGTGTTTATGGCCTTGAATGAAGTTTTGTTTAATGTTTGGTACATCTCGAATTGCAGACATGAATTACTTTTTGGGTGGGGCATCACGAAATTACAGGTACAACTTCTTTGATGTATTGCCTTTTCTTCCTTTTGTCTTGCAGGGTTGCCTCTTCTTTTTATTTTTTATATCTTAATAACTTGTACTGGGCTCCAAGAGAAGATATCCCATCATCTCTTTGCTGATTTACTGAGTTTGGCTGCTTATACATTGTGTATTTTTTTTATCCCACGGGTCCTTGTGCGTTTGAATTATTCTTCAGTTTTTTTTAATGTCAGTGATGGTCTTTCACTTGAGAGCAAACTCTTTTTTTTGTTTATTTCCCTCCTAGTTATTTTATATTTCTAGTTAGTGATGTTAATGAGGTATCACAATGTTTGTCCAATTTGCATTTCATCGTTCTTTCTCCAGCCAGCCATCGAGCGAGAACACCAATAATGATCAAATCCCTTCACTATATTCCAGCCAGCCATCGAGCGAGAACACCAATAATGATCAAATCCCTTCACTATAGACAGATGAATGGTTGACGCTACCAACTACAAAAGAAGAGGGTGAGGTTGTAATTCCTTAAGCTTGGATATCAACCAACTTAGCTAATTGGAGTACTTAGTTCGTTTTTGTTTATTGATTGTTGTTTCATTTTATTTTAAGCATGGATATCTGCAAAAGAATGGCTCCATTTCCTGCCACCTAATTCCATCACAACTTGGACGGATCTTGTTGCACAGTTCTTACAAAACTTCTTCTCAGCACAAAAGACAAATGAAATTCGAAACTAGATTGTGGAAATTCACCAAAGGAAGGGAGAAGCCTTCCATGAGTTTTGGGATCACATGCTTCTTTACGCATTTTAAGCCGCATGATGCTTCATGCTAATTGTCTATGTCGGCATTTGCTTGTAGAACCTGCACCAGTTCTGCGTTTCTCGTTTTCAGTGCTCCTATCTGTTTGTTGGCATAATCCAACTTATGTTGCGACTTTGCAATTTGAGCATTCAAGAAAGCCACTTTCTCAATTAGGGCTGCACACTCTTGTGTCCTAGCTAGTAGTCGTAGGCCTAAATTTGTAGGCAAGGTCGCGTTGTGCATGGTTAAGGCATGCGACTCTTCTATCGCAACCTTGTCAGAACTTTATGCTATATGCTGATGATCTGCCAGTGTGAGTACTGACAATCATGCCTCTAAGCACTATTACTCTGTTTGGCATTGCCTCGGCGAAGGTTGAGGCTGTGCCATGATGGCAGGAGGAGTTTAGGAAGACAGGGCTTGGAGGAGCATTTATTTGGGTCGACGGTGACGCAATGGATAAATTCAGATTGAGATCATAGATGGGAGTGGATGAGGTTGCCATTGTTTTTCTTGATTATTTGATGATTTTCTCTCAGTTTTCAGGAAGAAATGCAGGGCACTCCTCAACTTAACCGAGACATGGTTCAAATAGACTTCTGCTGATGAGGGAGCCGACAACACTTCGGATCTCCAGAGTGTTGTCCTTCCTTTTGCATTTTTCTCTCGGATTCCTTCGTTTCCCGAGCATTTTGCAGTTGTGTCATTTTAAAAGGGAGTATTTCTACACTTTCACTTTACTTTTAACCTCCCTGTTTTATGATGCATTGTATTTTCTACTGTCCTTGTCGCCCTTCTTTTGTTTAAGTTTGGGATGGGTGTTTTCTAAATTTTAAAAAAATATTAATAATTTTTTGCAAACTTTATTTTTTTATTTCTCATTTAAAGAAAAAAAAAAGGCAAAAAAAAAAAAAAAAAAAACTGAAATCATTTCTTCACGGCGCTCTGTGTCTCGACCATATGAGCTTTTAGTTTGGCTCTCTAGATGTCCTCTTTTAGGTTTTCACTCATAGCCTCCTAAGGCTCATCACTTGCTCATTACTTGATCTCCCAAAGATCACTCTTAGCTTGAGCACAATTTCTCTCGCGATCTAGTTGCTTGAGTTTACTCGGTCGCTTTAGGGCCTCCGGCTGCTTTCGCATGTCTTGAGAATAAAAATCTGTCATCTTTGATAACTTTTGATTTTCTTCCTTCAATACTTCCAGCTGATGTAGATTCACCTCTGTCGTCTTTGACCTCTCTTTTCAAGCTTCTTATAATACCCTGACATTCCTCAACTAAATTTCGCTCCGCCACCAACTAAGCACCTCCACCTCATCGGATTTCGCAATTAGGCGATAACCCACACTTGCACCACATGCCGCACTTTGCACGCTTAATGTCAGGGTATCGCTCACAACTCAGTTTTCATCCTTTGTCCCCAGCACATGTATATCTCTAGGAGTCACTAAATTTCTCACAACTCCAATGACGACATTGTTGTCTAAGAGTATTGAGTCGTTTACTGTCACGGATCCTTGTGAGGAAGCAAAGTAGGGCATCCATACTGGTGCCGTTCCTTGACCCCGTGTCTGAGTTAGTGGAGCTAGGTTGAGATCCAATGAAAATGGGAAGGAATACGCCATTTGATTTCTTTCTTATTTCTTTTCTTATTTCTTTTTTCTTCTGTGTGTTTCTGATCTTATGTTTCCCCATTTGCCCTTTTATATACGTAGTTTTTGCTGAACCATAGCTACTGCGTTTTTAATTTTAGTGCGCCATCTACAGCTTATGTCCATCGGTCATCGCATCCGCTTCCCAACTCACTTAATTGTGACACGACCTTTCTGAACAAAACAGCTTATGTCCATCGGTCATCGCATCCGCTTCCCAACTCACTTAATTGTGACACGACCTTTCTGAACAAACGCTTTCAGAAAAGTCATCACTACTTTCCAAGATGCCAATAATTTTGGATCAAGGATGTGCGAGGGGCCTCTGCGCGTCAACATGTCTCTCGTGCTATTTGCCCATGACTTACTAGGAGTTGAGACATTAGGGCCCATGTTCTTCCTTTTTAGCACTTCCGTTTATTGGCCTTAAAAAAAAAATGATGGTTCAAATTTCAAGAATTAAAACTTCAACACGGTTGAAAAAAATAATAATAATAAATAAAACAAAACAATAAACAAATAAAACAGTAAGCCCTAACAACAGTCCTACACAAGCGGAAACCCAAACTTCGAAGAAGTCCAACCCAAGCGGAAACCCAAACTTCGAAGAAGTCCAGACATGGGGTCAAGGAGCGGCACCAGTATGGATGCCTTACTTTGCTTCCTCACGAGGACCCGTGATAGTAATAAACAACTCAATACTCATGGATAACGATGTCGCCATTGGAGTTGCAAGAAATATAGTGACTCCTAGAGATATACGTGTGTTGTGGTGTTGTGTAGATACAGCTGCACCAAAATGGATTCAGTTGCATCCTCAACTTGTGATACTCGCAAGTGCACGAACCGTTGGTAGTTTAGTGTATGTAAGTGCGAGGTCGATTCTACAGGGATTGGTGATTGAATGATCCAATTTAGTTTCCCTACACAAAACAGAAATGAAAAAGAAAGGAAATAAATAAAACAAGGAAGAAAGAAATAACTAACTCAAGCAAATAAGTTCCCAAGTTCAATTAGATTAATGGATTGGTTCTAGCTAAAGTATGATTAAGCCATGGTGTGTGGTCATAACCTTGTGTTCCTAATTCCCTAATTTGATCATTTGTTGTCTAACCTAAAATTAAGCATTAGGAACCCATTAAGCATAGAAGAACAATTTAAACAAC